TTTACCAGATCAACACTGGTGTCTGGACTTTCGCCCTCGTTTGTCATGATATAAAAACCAGTACAGTTTAAGACAGTTGTGAGCAAACTTTTTGCACAGAAGGGGGTAAAGAAATACATACTGATTTTTTTAACCATATTTTAAAAAAATATAGCCTTTTCTATATTCATCATTAAATAGTGGCCCCCAAATTCATTCAGAGATCCTTCAGCTTATAAGCAGTGAAATTTTTGTAAAATTTCCTTTGATGATTATTTATTAGTTTGACAAATTTACACTGTCATTATTAATTTTCGAAGGCTTTTTACAGATGATCATTCACAATTTGTACGATTTACAAAAAAAATAATCTGGTTCTTGTAAGGTCATTGAGGGCTGCATTAAGAGTTTTCAGCAGGCCGCATTTGACACATCCGCGGACTGTGGTTGCCCACACCTGGTTTAAGACAATAAATTTTAAATTCATTACTTTTAAAAATTTAACGCCAGGTATAAATAAAAGACACAACTACAAGAAATATAATGAATCCAATTTGGCATCATAATTTTTCTAAAAGAATGCGTTACTGACAGAGCAGCGTATATTAACTTTTTATTGTTTATTTTTGGACACCCATGGCGCAAAATGACTTTATTTGTCCTGGTTTTAAATTTGAAATCAGAAAAATTTAAATATCCTGGTTTTTTATTTTGAAAAAAAAAGATGGTCACCTTATTAATGTGTAATTGGCAACTTTGCTTACATTGGCAACCCTAGGCCTAGATTCAACAGGTTTTTAATGCTTTTTTAAATCAGATAAACATATGTTTAACACCAATATTGCAAATGGATGAGTACAATGGGGAGTGGACGAAGTCTGGATATACAGTCATCCCTCATCATATCGCAGGTTACTTTTCACGGTCTCATGGTATCAAGGATTTTTTATATATATAATTTAGAACTATCTAATATATAATTTTATATCTTTTTAAAATTATGTAGGTTTCAGAGTGTAATAAGTGTTAAGGAGCATAGGAGTATGGAAAAGGTTTGTAAGAGTTTGGGGAGGGTTTATAAAGCCTTAAAAGATATATAAATAATAAATAAAATATAAGGTGGTTTCTAAGCGGATTTTCCCCTATTGCTGGAAGTTCTAGAACTTCGATAGACGAAGGCCCACTGTAAATTTTGTAAAGAGGAAGAATTGAACACTGTTCTATTTGCATTGAATTCACTGCCTTATAATTATAATAAGAATTACCATTTCCATGGCTCCAAAATAAGGGGTGAGGGAATCTATATATACTATTATTTTAGAGGTATTACTTTAATAATAGATAATAGATATATAATATGGTTTTTAGTAGGCATAGTAAAAAAGGCTATTTCCAGTAAAAAGCCTAAAGGCTAGGACCTCCTAGTCTTTACTTACTCTTTTTATTAACCTAAAGTCAGAGTCTTTAGTAATATTAACTTCTTTCTTAAATAATGGTGGATAAAGATTGACTATGACAAAGAAGTAAGCCTTACTTTTGCTAAAATTAGTAAGAAGTAAGAAGAAAGACAGAAGCGAATATGCTTGGAACGTGGAAACTGCTCCCCTCACCTAATAATAAAACTAATTTTAATTTTTTTTACTATATTAGACATTAGTAATTAGAGTGAGTTACTAATTTAATCTAAAATTTGAGTTTGTAAATTTATTACTATTATTATTTAAAATTGGTGCCATGACGTATCACACTGCCCGTATCTTGGTTGAAACGACCTGTGAATGTGAACTTTTATAATTCACTCAGTCACTAAAGACTAAAACTAACCAGAACCCTAATTTTAACATAAACCTAACCTGAACGCTAAAACTAAATGAAAATGTATCCCTAAGTCAAGGACGTCATGGCACCAATTTTCTGCATTAGCCGTATAATATTATGATTAAGATTATTATGTATGATTATTGGTTTATTTAGCATTAGTTGAGCTAGACCTGAAGTGTCTCTTTCATTAGTAAGTCACTTTTTAATTTACTTAGTAAGTCGTGACTCTCAGCACATATTATAATTCAGTTCAGTTGTGACCCATCCTTTTGATTTTTAATAATAAAGCAGTTGCGATGTTCGGGTGATGAACTACATAAATATAGCCTGGATGATTCAGTAAGACTGTAAGGTTTCTGTGACATTAGTGTGAGTCACACTGGACTTGACCTGACAATGAGAGTCAGGCCTGTGATAACTGTGAGAAAATATTTTGCGGAAGTTCCCGATCGTAGTTGAATTTCAGTAAAATAAACCGGAAACTCCAATGAAAACAGAAAAATACAAAGTTAAAAGGAGACGAGTCCAATTATCTACGAATGAAACTTTTGTTCCTTTCCATTCCATTTCATGATTCATATGTCATATTTAATTAACTAGATTTTTTTATTGTACCATTGCATGATTTTTTAAAGGGATCCCAATTTAAAGGATGACCAAGATATAATATCACTCGATTACTTAAACTCCACTGGCTCCACCAGTTATATTTAAACTTAGAAAATTCCCAAATTTGATTTTTGAAGGAAATATCTAAAATTTAAAAGATAAAAGTCTTTCAACTGGTAATCTCTTTTCGTATTTCTTTTTTTTTTTTTACAGCAGCAATATCAATATATAGTATAGACTATATCTCATTATTCGTTTTTAAATTTAACGCTTTCTTTGTGCATATCCAAATTTTCGCTTGGAGGTAAGCTTGTTATTGTATTTTGATAAACAATTTAATTTAAAAAATAAAAGTCTTTCAACTGGTAATCTCTTTTCGTATTTCTTTTTTTTTTTTTACAGCAGCAATATCAATATATAGTATAGACTATATCTCATTATTCGTTTTTAAATTTAACGCTATCTTTGTGCATATCCAAATTTTCGCTTGGAGGTAAGCTTGTTATTGTATTTTGATAAGCAATTTTTTTTACCCTCCCTCTGTCAACAACTGTCAAACTTTCAGTGACCCCCCCCCCCCAATAACTATGTCAACATTCGTATAACCCCCCCCCACCCCCCACCCCCCAAAAAAAATTATTTTAAAAGACAAATGAATCATAACATAAATAAATCTATCAATACATTTGACTTTGTGCTGATCTATTTCAATAACACAAAATTGTAGGAAAACACTTTATTGCATCTTTAGCTTGTTAATCAAAATGTTAAAGAGTTTTTACCCTTAAATTTTATATTGCAGAATCAATGAACATGTTGTTAAGGACTAAATATTATTGTTTTTGGAAGTAGATTTAGTAGAAATATGATTATTGTCAGTGCAGCTGACAATTGTAGCATAGTTTCTAGCTGCTATCATCTTCCCAGTGAGTAGGCAGATGCTGCTCTATCGTAACAATGGGTAAAGTAGCTGATTTATCATTTTCATCTTGCGGAACTGATATACCAGACAAGTCAACAACATCCTCATCTAACCATTCAGCACTTAAAATAAAAGCATTGTCAGTGTGAGCAATAATTACCATAAGCTCTCTCTCTCTCCTGGCAGCTACTTGCATTAGTTGAATCCATTTTTGCTGAGGAGCAATTGGTAATTTCTTATGCATTGTCGGTGCTGTTGAACATGCTATTTCAACATGACTTGTAATGCAAAATAGATGTTACATATTTTGCAAATCCATTCAAGCAGCGATGTTATTATTGTTACTCACTTTATGTCCTTGTTCCATACCCGCAACACGATTGCTAACACACCGCCCTAGTCATTTGCGACAAACATCATCTACAGGCGAAGAGAGGCCAACTTTTGACTTCTCTAATTAATGGACGCCCGCAAAGGAAAATAAAACTAAAACAAAGTTTCACAGTTCCAGGCCCGTTCTTAGGCATACGCTGACTACGCATCCGGGTAGGGCCCCGAGCGTGAGGGGGCCCCCGTGAGGCGCCCTCGACTCCCCGTTTTTTTTTTTAAAACTGGCACTGCAACCGTCTGTGTCACTCACGTTACCTTCCTCATCCTGAAATTTATCATTCTGAGTTGAATTCGGAGGCAGGGGAAGGGAAGCAGCAGACGGGAGCTTTGGGGGTGGCAGACAGGAAATCGGGGGTTTGGCCGTGGGAATGGGAAAGAGGAAACATTGAAGGAGGCATAATGGAGGTGTCGCAGTGGTGGATGGTGTTTTCTCCTCAGCTCGAGGGAGCTCCACCCTCGCCCTCCGCCCCCCTTCCGGGGCCTCCAGCCTACGCTCCATGCTTAGGGCCCCCAAACTCCTAGGAACGGCTCTGACAGTTCAAATAAAAATTTAAATGAAAGAAAATACAACATTTTGCGAACGAATTGATTTATACGGCCCTTTTTATTTTTCATCTTTAGATGGAGAATACTAGGGCTACTGACAGTAAGGATGGCCGTATGTGGCCCGCGGACCGTATGTTGTGCAGGCTGGCATTAAAGGATAAGGAGCGTGGAAGAAATTATGGATTTTTATGACTTCATACAATTTTTTAAAAAGTTTATTTATTTTTAAAAGAGCTTTTAGTCCCATGTATTTCTAACTTTTAAGATGAACTATTTTACCAGCCGTAAAAGGGGAAGGAGACGCATCCAAATTTGATCCCAAAGTATTTTATAGGTCACGGTCATGGTCACAAGGTCCCACTCAATTGCATTATATAGGCCTATATGACCGCCCCCTTAACTATTATCAAACAGATACGGCATTATGGGGAGACCGTACTGTTGAGAACACCTTACAAGGTAAGGAATAGTTATCATTGCCGCTGTCATGTTGAAACCGTAACAGTTATTTAGTGCAATGCTTCTCACACTTACCATTGTGAAGGTCTGGCAAGGAATCTCATCCAGAAAACCAGAACAAAACAGGCGCCAGTGGCTTAATCAGACATAAGGGGAGAGTCTTTTTTTTTTTTTCCTTCTGAATTAAAAAAAAACAAAAAAAAAAACATTTCGTACACGACCAAATGACTGAGTGCTTGCGGGCGGGTTGACGGACCACCGATCGCCCCCACTTAGAGAAGCATTGGTTTGGACTGGGTTTAGAGGGCATCTGATAGGAACGGTGTCGTTTACGGTCGGCGTTGCTGTACGTTGTAGTAGCATACAGAGGTCAGGCTTCTCACGTAGTTTTTTGTGGTGCAGCAAATCGTGCGATACATGCTCTGTTGACACTGACTAACACTAACTGAGATATTGATGTGTGGCCAGACGCTACACAGTTTTATTTTCTAGAGGGCTCGTAAGAAGGTAAGTTTGTTATTGATGGTTTAAGTCAGTAGTGGATTTCAATGGCCTCGGCTTTGACAAACCTCATAATTTTACCTATATAATTAATACAGGGTATAACCACGAACTATATAACAGGCCCGTTCTTAGGCATACACTGACTACGCATCCGCGTAGGGCCCCGACTGTGAGGGGGGCCCCCGGTGAGGCGCCCTCGATCCCTCGGTTTTTTTTTTTAACTTGCACTGCAGCCGTCTGTGTCTCTCACGTTACCTTCCTCATCCTGAAATAAGTGCCACCAGAGGCAATTCTTAGGCATATTGGCAAACTAGGCAACCGCCCAGGGCCCCACTTCCACCTGCATGTCCATATATTTCAGAAGTACACATTTTCTCTAGTAGCGGAATTATCAATATGGTTAGTGGTTACACACTAGCAAAGAGGAAACATTGATGAAGGCAGAATGGAGGTGCCGCAGTGGTGGGTGGTGTTTTCTCCTCAGCTCGAGGGAGCTCCACCCCCGGACCGCCGCCCCCCCCCTTCCGGGGCCCCCAGCCTACGCTCCATGATTAGGGCCCCCAAACTCCTAGGAACGGCTCTGTATATAATTAATACAGGCTATAACCACGAACAATATAATTAATACAGGATATAAGCACGAACTATATAATTAATTACCGTTTGAAGTTCGAAAAGTATTATTTATTGTCTAAAAATAAGATATAGGCTGCAGTTATTAATGTTGAAATGGCGAGAAGCATGATCCCATCAAGTGATGGTTGCATAAGCATGATCCCATCAAGCGATGGTTGCATAAGCATGATCCCATCAAGCGATGGTTGCATAAGCATGATCCTATCAAGCGATGGTTGCATAAGCATGATCCCATCAAGCGATGGTTGCATAAGCATGATCCCATCAAGCGATGGTTGCATAAGCATGATCCCATCAAGCGATGGTTGCATAAGCATGATCCCATCAAGCGATGGTTGCATAAGCATGATCCCATCAAGTGATGGTTGCATAAGCATGATCCCATCAAGCGATGGTTGCGTTGATATACTCGCAACTGAAAGACAGCGGGTCCGAAATTGCACGGGGTCGTCCCCAGGTGTGAAGATCCTGTTGTAAAAAAAAAACAAACTCGGCCACTAAGTCAGGATGAGTACAAAACCTTTAAAAAAAAGATTTTCTTAGTATTAAAAATCCTGTGTACTCCGTGCAATCATGAACTTAAAAAAAAAAAACAGCTAATAATAAATAATAGCCTACATGATACAAAATAATTATGTAGGCCCAATCCTGTGTTATTTCAGATTCGCTTTTCAATGAATACTTAAGAAAATCACACTGAGATGTTAAAATTAATGATAGGTACTACATTGTAAATGTTTATAAGTTATATCTAACTGGACAAGTGTGGAAATAATATCAGTCGTTTGTAGCGTTCGGCAAGATCAGCGGTTCTCAATTTGTGGGGGTCGAACGACTCATATTTATGAAGTAGCAACGAAAATAATTTTATGATTGGGCATCGACACAACACGGAGAACTGTATTAAAGGATCGCGGCATTAGAAAGGCTGAGAACCACTGGGATAGATCATTTTAATGAAGTTGTTGTTATTCGATGTGCTCTAATCATGTTAGAAAAAATATATTTAAAAAAAAAATGAATTGGTCACTGTTTCAGAAAATGTCAGACGGTGTACTACCTGTCGTAGTAGGTGTGGACATTGGGGGCACCAACACAGACGCCGTGCTGCTGTACCACGATGGCGACCGTACCGAGGTGGTGGCAGAGATCAAGGAAATCACAACGAGTGACGTCACTTCCGGGGTGAAAAAAGCTGTGCTTGGATGCCTTCTGAAAGCAAAGCAAGACGGGAAGTTGGTCGCACCTATTCAAGTTAATATAGGTGAGTTAAACAGATAACCCTCTCTCTCTCTCTCTCTCTCCCCTATCACACGCTTTCTCTATCACTCTCTCTCTCTATTTTTCTCTCTGTATTACTCTCTCTCTCTCTCTCTGTCTCTCTCTCTCTCTGTCTCTCTCTCTCTCTCTCTCTCTCTACTAATCTCTTTCTATTTATATCCCTCTCAATATCTCTCTCTCGCTCTTTCACACTCTCTCAATCAATATCTCAATCTTTCTCTCTCTCTCCACGCTTTCTCTCTCACTCTCTCTCTCTATTTTTCTCTCTGTATTACTCTCTCTCTCTCTCTCTCTCTCTCTCTCTCTCTGTCTCTCTCTCTCTCTCTCTCTCTCTACTAATCTCTTTCTATTAATATCCCTCTCAATATCTCAATCTCGCTCTTTCACACTCTCTCAATCAATATCTCAATCTTTCTCACTGTCTCCAACGTCTAAAATGTATTCTTAAAGTTAGGAAACACATATTGGTTCTATAAAACACTTGTAATTGTATCTTTAGTATCTGAGGCGCTCCCCCTCCCCACCCACTTAAACAACAACAACAACAGACACACAACGTAAAATGTAAAAACAAAAATCTTCAAATTACCCATCTGTGGGGTGACGCCATATGTTGGGTGACGCCATCTGTGGGGTGACGCCATCTGTGGGGTGACGCCATATGTTGGGTGACGCCATATGTTGGGTGACGCCATCTGTTGGGTGACGCCATCTGTGGGGTGACGCCATCTGTGGGGTGACGCCATCTGTGGGGTGACGCCATCTGTTGGGTGGCGCCATCTGTGGGGGTGACGCCATCCGTGCAATAAAATTCTACAAAATGATCATGATATAACCCCTAACTGACCACATCTGACCACATGATACCTGGTGATAACTCTAATAGGGGAACACATAAACACATGTACATCTGAAAAAGGATTTTTTTTTTTTTTAAAGTTGAAACAAATCCAATCCCTAAACATTTACAAAAATGAAATTCAACCCCAAAAATTGTAAAGTATTTAATTTGACCAACTGATTTGTTGGTGTGACGTCAACTATTTCGACTTTGCCGTTTCAGGTACCACCCATTTCATCAACGCTGTGGTCCAAGGGAAGGACTTGGCCAAAGTGGCCGCCGTGAGGATATGCGGACCGGTATCAGAGGAGGTACCGCCGTTTATGGACTTCCCCACACGCCTGAGCCACCTGATTGGCGGGGGAGTGTATCTGGTGCATGGCGGCTACCGCTACGACGGGAAGGAGTTCGAACCTCTGGATGAAGATCAGATCAGACAAGTGGTCGGCCAAATTAAGAAGGATGGCGTGTCAAACATCGCGTACGTCGGAGTTTTCTCCCCTACGAGACCGGAACAGGAAATACGGGCAAGGGAGATCACACGAGAGGTCTTCCCCGAAGCCACTGTGACGCTCTCTCACGAAATAGGACACATAGGTTTGCTCGAGCGGGAGAACGCCGCCATTCTCAACGAGTGCCTGAAGCCCTTGTGCAGAAAAACCATCGGGGGATTTCGGACAGCGCTGGAAGAGATTGGAGTCACGTGTCCTTTCTATCTGACCCAGAACGACGGAACGGTCATCAGTAGCGAGGGTGTGATGGAACAGCCCGTGCTGACCTTTGCCTCGGGCCCCACCAATAGCATGAGGGGCGCCGCCTTCCTTTCTGATCTGAAAGACGCCATCGTTCTCGACATCGGCGGCACAACCACCGACGCCGGAATTTTGAAGAACGGATTTCCCCGGGAAGCCGCCAGCCACGTCAAAGTGGGCGGAGTTAGAACAAACTTTCGGATGCCTGACGTCATAAGTATAGGCCTTGGAGGCGGTTCGTATGTCAAAGAACATCCTGCCGGTAAGGACGCTGCACGTAAGGTAACAGTTGGGCCTCTGAGTGCTGGGTTGAATCTGTTCAATGAAGCTTTTGTCTTTGCTGAGGGAAATGATTCAACTGGAAGGTCATTGACTGCAACAGATATCGCTGTAGCAGCAGGGCTGTCTCAGTTAGGCTCCTCGGAAAAGGTCAAAAACCTCGACCGGACTTTAGTCAGTGATGCTGTGGATGAAATTCACAGGTTGATAGAGGATGTCATCGATAAGGTCAAGCTGAGTAGAGACGCACTTCCTGTAATCGTAGTGGGCGGAGGAAGCATTTTAATTGACATGAAGCGAGTGCCGAAAGGAACCACCCATCTTGTCGTTCCCAAGCATTTCGGAGTTGCTAACGCCATCGGGGCCGCGTTGAGCAAAGTGTCGGCTAGCTTCAACACGATCATCAACCTGCTGGACAAGATCAAGGTCGACGACATGGAAGAGAGTGTCGCAAGAGCCGTGGCCGTTGTTACCGATGACCCGGATGGAAGGGAAAAAGATCGGGTAAGCAGTGAAGCCAGGAAACCTTACTTGGCCAAAGCAAGAGACGAGGCCATCGAAGAGATTTGCGAGAAACTCAAAGGGACGGTTGTGCTTCAGGGCGCCTCGGAGGACAGCTTGGAGATTCTGGAGAAACAAGATTCGGTCATTTCTTACATCCCGGGCAGCGCTACACAAATCAAGGTCAAGGTCGTAGGAGATCTGTCAGGCTGGAAGACAGGGGCTGAACATCTCGACCCATGGACAGAACCTCCAGGAGTCCAAGCCCTCTTGAAAGAAGAGTCTAAGGTTCTCGGGAAACAGACGTTCTCATCAACCGGCGTCAGGATTGGGTACGACGAGGAGGTCACCGACCAGGACTGGACAAAGTCACCAAGAGATCCTTGCATCGACCCGGGGTCCGGGGAGTGGTTGCTGAATGAGTGGGACATCGAGTGCATCGTCCTAGGGTCGGGTATCTACGGCTGTGGGGGTGGGGGAAATCCCCACCTCGGGCGAATTCGGGCACTCAAGTACTTGCAGGAAGGCAAGAAGATGCGCGTGGTGAGCCCAGATAAATTGTTGAAGGATGCAGACCCTGAGAAGGACATCGTCGTGATATCAGCGTTCATCGGCGCGCCGTTGATCATGTACGAGCAGGCTGTCTCTTCCCACGAGACCACCACGGCGATGGAATGTCTCAGAGATGTCTACGAAATAGGGGCCTACCACGATGGAGATTTGGGAAATAAAGAAGGGGTGGACATTGAGGTCAACGCAGCTGGTAGCAAGTTCATAAAGAATTACAGACCCGAAGGAGAGAGAACTTCCGGTTTTAAAATCATTGCCACGGCGTCTGCTGAGATTGGAGGCATGAACGCCATCGAGCCGTTTTTCTTGGCGGCCAACCTCGACCTCCCGATTGTCGACAGCGATGGCATGAGCCGAGCTTTCCCCGAGGTCCAGATGTTTATGCCCTTCATGTTTGGGGACCCTCCGTACCCAGCGGCCATCGTGGGCTCTGGAAACTACCGAGAGAGGACAGTTTTGCTGCACACCCCTGGCAACAAGCTGCTGGAGAATTTCCTCAGGGATGTCTCCATTGAAAACGGCTGCTCGGCGGGACTGGCACTGCCCCTGAACAAGGGCAGCGTTCTGACCAAGACGCCCCTGAACACCGTCAGCAGCGCCTGGAGGCTAGGAAATGCCATTTTAAGAGCCCGTCTCCAGAAAGAGCCCGTCATCGACGCCATCCTGCAGCTGGAGCAAGGGAAACATGTCATGACGGGGAAGATTCTGGACGTCCAGAGAGAAACCAGCGGGGGTTTCAACAAGGGCTTCCTCGTCGTTGAGGGATTCGACGGATGGCGAGGTCAGCAGATACACATCGACTTCCAGAATGAAAACTTGGTGATTTTCCCGTTGGTGGACGGGGAACGCGGGGCGTGTCAAGGCAGCGTGCCCGACCTGATCTGCATAGTGGACGCAGACAACGCCGAACCCATCACAACGGAGGAAATCAAGTACGGCCAAAGGGTTGCCGTGCTCCTCCTGCCTTCTCACCACCTCCTGCGCACGCCCCAGGCCTTAAGGTGGGTCGGGCCCCAGGCGTTTCACTACGGAGACGATGTCCAGTTTCAACCATTCAGTCACAGACGACCGACCGTGCCGGTGCCTCCAGAGTAATCAGTATTACATACATACGCTGTATCGGAGGCGTTACGGTTTCAGTTTTTATGCATACTGCCAGTACATTAACAGGGATACGTTTTTTGGGGCTGGGATTTTTGAGTCATTGGCAACACACACACACACACACACAAATCATATTGTGTACTGGAACTGAGATGACTGCTAGTAGACAAGAGACACGACACTTTGTCAATAAACGAAAGCAATAAAGTGTCAATAGTTTGAACGTGTTAAGTTTCTACTTAATCATTTACAATAAAACGACTTAATTTTTTAAAATTATTCAGTGTTTTACTAGTAATTATATCATTAAATGATGTGACCTATTTACCTGACCTTGAAGGAGGGAGTGGAATTTTTATCGTACCACCTACCCCGCCTTTCTATTTCATCTCCGCACTTCCTCCGCACTCCCTCCGCACTTCCTCCGCACTTCCTTCGGTCCCTTCAATCCCCCTTTCCCTTAAATAGTTTATTTTATACCAGGCCTGCCCAACTCAAAATGGAAGGCGGGCCGAACTACTTTATGAAAAACTTTTGCAGGGCAAAAAAAAAAAAATAGGACAGGGGGAAA